GTTAATTGAGCTTGACTCCAGAGGCTGCCCAGAAACACGCTCACAGTCCCCTGCCATGCTCGGAGGGAAGAGAAGGAGCAGCCACCCGAGGCAGGAGGTGTTTGGGCACAGGAGAGCAGGACTCCAGCCTGGCAGGCTGCAACAAAGCCCTTCTAGCACCTTCATTAAATCACACAGCGCTGGCTCCGAGCACTCAGTCTGTGCCTCTGACCACCCTGTACAAATGATCTCACACTGCTCAACCCCCCCGGCTGCCGGCGCCGCTCCTGCCGGCACTTTCCTTCTTACCAGCCCTTCTGGGGATCAGCCAGGAACAGCTTTCCAGGGTTTAAAACTGCCTCTGGCCATGATGGAAGTGTTGGCAGCTGCTCATGCCCAGCTCCAACCCCGAGTCTTCCTGCTGGGGTGGGGATGTGGGGCTGAGGGGATGCAGGGGTGAGCTCTGTCCTCACTCAGAGAGGACTAGCATCTCTGGTCCCACAGCCTCACAAATCCATGGAGCCTTTGGCTGTCCTGAGTAATGAGTTTTCCCAGTCCAGGGCAAGAGCCGGGCCGTGCTCCCTGGTGTGGAACAGTGGCACGAGACTTTGTTTTGGTTTTGTGACCTGGCTGCACGTCCTGCCAGCTGATGCTTTAACCCTCATTGGGGCAGAATCACCCTCAGAGTTTCTCCCCTGTTTGAGCCCCCTGACAACACAATTATGTGCTCAGAGGGCAGGTTCAGGTTGGCCCTCCAGGTGCTGCTGTGATGTGCTCAGCCCTGCGCGGCCTCTCCTGAAGATCCAGGTTTCCTGGCACAGACAGGGTAGCATCTTCCCAGCCCAAAATGGAAAGGCCCAAAACAAAATAAGAAGGTACAAAATCCTCCCCTCCCTCCCCATCGAGGAGCTGATGATGCTCTGACCAAACTGCTGTGAGTGAAGCAGCTGCTCAGAGAGCCAGGGAGGAACGGGGCTGTGCACAGCCTCACCCCAGCGCCGGTGCCTGACTGTGCAAGGTGTACCCGCGGTGTGAGGAGAAGGGAGCTGGGGCAGGGGGTGCCAAGGAGCAGGGACTGTGGAGGGACAGTGCCTGGGATGCTCGGGATGAGGAAGAGGAGGCTGGGGATGGGACAGGAGAGGGGTGACCCACACCGAAGGTGTCCGGCGGAGCCGGGCTGTCCCCGCAGCCCTCCCACCCCACCGGCCCCGCTTCCAATCAGCCCCATCACACACCGCTTTCACCGACAGCTCGTTTACTCGCACTCTGTAAATAAGTGAGAGAACCAGCCCTGCCCTTCCTGAGCAGAGGGACGGCCAGGAAGGGGCCGGCCGGTCCCACCGCCCGCTCCTTCCCAGCACCGGAGCCAGCGCTGCCGGGAGGGGCCGGGGTCATCCACGCCTGCTCCCAGCCAGGCTCGGGAAAGTGCTGAGCATCCACCACCTCCCTCGGGAAACAAGGGGAGCACCCGTCCTGGACTCCCAAAGTCCACGCCACCGAGTGTCCGTAATTATTTAGCTTAAGGATAATCTGCATCTTTCAGATACAGCCAGCCATCATCTCCGAGGTAATCTCAGGTCACGGAGCCAGAAGGGAAGAGTAATCAGCCGTTCTGAGTGTGGAAGACACAAAGAAACAAGCAGTGAGAATCAGTCGGTGGCAGCAGGTCTGTTACACACAGGGGGCTGTGCTGTGGAGCTTTTCCCTGGCAGCCAAAGCAGCTGGAGCAGCTCCAGCCCCTGTGCCCTGTCCTGCCCCTGCCCTGCTTTGGCCTCTCTTCAGCCAGGCTGAATTACCCCGAGCTGCTGCAGCAATGTCAGGGCAGCCCAGCACTGATGGTCAGCACCCCAGCTGGGTTTAACTCAGTTAATGCACAAAGCTGCTCCTCTATAATCACATTGCCACGGCTGTGGTTCCTGGCAGCCCCAGCCAACCTCCAGGCTCCACACAGCCCCGCTGGGAAAGGTTTGCTGCCAAGCTGGCTCACCCTGGGGATGTCAAACAGGGGTTTGCTCGGCACAGGACAGGGAGCAGCATCCCCCAGCACACCTGGACACAAGGGTGAGAGGGGTGAGGATCTGCAGATGGAGAAAATACCCACAGAGGAATTCCTGGGAGCTGCTGCAGCTGGCAGGGTGGCTTTGCAGTTCAGGGAAGTTCAGCCAAGTCTCACAGTGGCAGCAGAGCCCCATTTGCACCACATCTCCCGGACACTGGGGACAGAGAGCTGGACCACAACAGCAGCCACACCATCCCCAGAGCTCCTCCTGCACTGACTGTGGCAGGAAAAGCCCACTGGGAGCAGGGCTGGACTATCACAGCTGCATCCCTCATGGATTTCTCTTCCTCCATCTCCAGAAGCAGATGCTGCATTTGCTCCAGTCCCCCAGAAATCAACAGCTTTGCTCCCAAACCAGCTCTGAAAGCAGCAGTGCCAAGGCAGCCCCTGCAGGGCTCCTGGCCTGACACCATCCTCCCCGGGGACACCGCCAGAGGCACTGCCAGAGGCAGGGACAGCTCTGCAGAGGTGTCCCTGAGCCACAGGAACCTTCCTGCCCTTAGTGCTGCCCTACCCAGGCAGAGCTCAGGGGGACCTTGAAAACAGGAGGTATCACCCCGAAGCCCAAAATCCGTCTGATCTCTGCACAGCTTGAAGGTTGCCACTGGTGGCAGCCATGGGGGCTCCTGAGGAGCTGCTCTGTTCTCATTGTTCCTTTTCCTGGCTCCAGCACTGGCACCTGGCACAGCTCTGCTGGCACCCAGGCTGTGCTGGCCCTTCCTTCCCACCCCACATCCCCTTGGCCAGACTGTGGCCACAGCAAAACAAGCTGCCTCTTGCTGAGCTGGAGTAGTTTTGAAGGCTTTGCAAATCAGATTCATGGCCAGGCTGATATTTCCAGCTTAATTTGTTTGTTCACAGAGCACAGACACTGGGTTTTTTTCCCTAAATAGCCCTAGTATCAAATGACTGGTGAGCCGAGCTAATGGATCAGTTCTCCCTTACCAGAAGCAGCTGATTTTCCCAGCTCTTGCCTCCCACTGCTCTGGCATCCCCAGAGAGCTCTGTCCTGACAAACCAGCCTGAACACAGCCCCAGCTGCAGCTCTGCCAGGTCAGGCTCCTGCCCAGCCCTGTGTGCCCACCCTGCCCCAGGCACCCTCCCCTGTCCCCTTGGGAGCTCCTTCCCCACCTGCTCCTTCCTGCATTTCACACCAGGTTTACTTTAAAATTGCATCCTGGGCACTTTACACCTTGTTGGGATGGGCATGGTGCTATAAACTCAATTTAAAATGCTTGGTAGTTGCTGTCACGCTCCTTTTCTCCCTCCTCCCACACCCCACCAGTGGGACTTCCATTAGCTTTGGCAAGCCAAGAAAACCTCCTTTGTCACAGGTTCGGATGGTTCTCCACAGCACTCAAAGAGATTTTGGCTACTGAGGCACAGAAAAGCCTTTGAAAGACGTGTGACGTCTTCTGGAGTACTTTTTCACCTGCCCAGTGGCCGGGCTCCTTCCACAGCTCAGGGAGCAGATGCTCCAGGGCTTTGCTCTGAGCCACAACCACGAACAGTCTGGGCTGGGGAGGGCAAACAGCACCACCCCCTGAAAGCCCAGCCAGCCCAGAGCTCCTGTCATGATGGAGTGATGCCACCAAGATGTCCCTTTGTAGGACCCGGTGGAGATGCTCAGATTGGAAACGTCCCTGCAGAGCTTCACCCTGGGTGCTCCCCAGCCTGTGGCAGGGTTCAGCTGAGCACAGAGCCACATCAGCAGCCCCATGCCATGGATTCCAGCAGGGTCCCCGTGGCTGGGCATGGCGTTGTGCCACCGAGATGCACCACAGGACAGCAGGAGCGGCCGAGCGCCGTCACCTCCGTGAATCAGCTGCCCGGGGCTGTTTGCAGAGTGAGAGCTTTGGTTGGTAACCAGGTTCTCAGGCTTTGTGTGCTGCTGTTGCTATTTTAGTCTGCCTGAAATGTGCAGGAAAGGGAACCTGGAGGCTCTGTCTCCCGCGGAGATGTTTGTGCTGACCCAGTTTGGGAGGCTGCAGAGCCACGGCCGCGTCTCCCTGCTCCAGGACCGGGCAGCGCCGGCTCCGGCCGTGCCGCAGCTCCAAGGACACCTGCCCTGGAACCAGGCACCCACACAGGGACTGAGACATGGGCCAGGAGCTGCCCCACCACCCTGCACCAGCCAAGGGAGGGATTCCAGGGATTTTATCCCCAAAATCCCCATCTGCAGCACTTAGAGCTCTTCAGACACTCAGCACTGGGTTTTCTCTTCTCCCAGAGCAGCGTCACTCACCAACAACCCAAACCCAGCCCCCGGGACACAAGATGTCCCAGCAGAGACTGCCACTGTCCCAGAGAGCTCCGTGGGGCAGCCCCAGCCCCAGGGGAGGTGGATGAGGGTGTTCATTACAGCCCCACAGAGCCCCAGAGCCCTGCACACACACAAATCTCTGCCAGAGCTGCTGAGACAGCGCTCCCAGGCCAGGCTGGAGCTGCTCAGTGTGGGAAAAGTGCCGGGGCTGCCTCGCTGGGCATGAAAAACAGCACTCCCCAAATGACCCCTCTGTGCTTTGAGGACACCTGTGGGGTCAGGATCAAACACCTGAGCCCACCCAAGGGCACAGAAGGGGCAAATCTCTGTCCCACTGCTCCCGTGACCATTTCATCAGCACCCAGAGCACACAGCTCGAAGCTCTCCCTCTGCTCCCAGCCCTGCCCCAGAGGTGAGCTCTCAGAGCAGACTGGCCACGGGGTTGCAGAGCCTCAGCTGTCCAAACATCCAAGCAGAGATGCTGGGAGGTGTCAGCCCAGCCTGCCTCAGCTCCAGCCAGCGGAAGCAAATGCAGCCTCTGATCCCCAGGCAGGGCAGGAAGCTGCAGACACAGCAGTGCCTGAATACAAACTCACTCCTCACCTGGCAAACAAACAGCCTCCTGCACAGGCAGGAGCATCACTGAGCAAAGCCCCACATTCCGCGCTGGAATTCCCAGCTCCCGCGCCACTCTCTTACCTTGCTCTCCGTAGGAGCCGCTGCCGGATGCTGCTGCTTGGTGATGTTCTCAGCCAGACACCAGCAGATCCTCTTCTTCTGCTCCTGGGAGTAAGCCTCCAAACTTAATAAGCACTCCGACTTCTGACGTAAAGGAAGCAGGGAGAAGGTCATTAGCTGTGTGTCGCAGGCCCTGCCTGGGTTTGCAAACTCCTTGCTCCCCACACACCACGGCACACCAGGGGAGAGCTCACACCTGTGGCCTGCACCAGGAGAGGAAAAGAGACTGGAAATCAGCTCCTGCAGAGCCAGGGAGAGTGGTGCAGGGGAGCTGACTGTGCAACAGGGGCAGAGCACATCAGTCCTGCACCCTGTGCCACTGCAGGGGAAACCGAGGGTGGAAATTGCTCTTTGCCATATGCAAACATTAGTGAGGCACCAGAGCATGAACTGGTGAGAACAGGAGCCTTTGGGCTGGCTGGGGCTGGGAGGAAGAGTTCAGGGAAGCTCCAGAGCAGCCTCCCCGTCCTGCTCCTCACTTAACACACACCAGGATGAATTTGGGATAAAATTCCAGAGCAGCCTCCCCATCCTGCTCCTCACTTAACACACACCAGGATGAATTTGGGATAAAATTCCAGAGCAGCCTCCCCATCCTGCTCCTCACTTAACACACACCAGGATGAATTTGGGATAAAATTCCAGAGCAGCCTCCCCATCCTGCTCCTCACTTAACACACACCAGGATGAATCTGGGGATGAAGCTCCAGCTCTGGTCCCACACTGTCTGTTAGCAACATGCAGCAAGGAAGGAATTAAGAGAAATGATGGGAAGTCATCCCAGCTGAGCCCACCTCCTCTTGTGCCCTTCCCTGCACACATCTTCTGTTGTCTCGGACAGGTTTTGTTTGGGCCAAATCTCACTCACTTAAGGAACTTTCTGACCAAGTTCTCTCAGCAGCTTTCTCCCAGCCCTTCAGCTGCTTCTCTCTCATGCTAAAAATGAAGAACTAACTTCTGCTGTCTGCTGGGATTTTGCACCTTTCACTTTATAAAGGGTCCAGAAATGCCCAAGGTTGGATCATCTCCTTATGTGGCCAGATGGGAAGAGAAAAAAAAAATAAAATAGAAGCACAACTTTAGGACAGACTGCAAAGAAAGGAAAAAGAGTTGTTCACTAAGGGCCATAAAAAAACCCTTTTCTTTTCCCCTAGAATTTCCTTCCAGAAGGGCAGGTCCCCAACAGTTGTTTTTTCCCAAAAAGGTCAGAGAGAACCTGCAGCTTTGTGACCCCAGAGACATAACACAGCCAGAAGGGGAAATGCTCTTTAGTCACACCATTTAAATCACTGTTTGCATTGGATGGGAATTCATTCATGCTTCATCCAAAATCCTCTAAAGTGGTAAATAAACCCAGCTCCCACATCATCTCCTGGGAAAGAGGGCTCTGGTTCAGTCCTTTGCCCCTACGAGACTTGCATGAAAGAGAAAGTTTGAGCTTTCTTATGCCTGGACATCCCCACTCTTATTCCTACAGGCTTGAACACTGAAAATTCCTTCTCAGGCTTCCTGAGCACAGAGTGAGCAGAGGTTTGGGATTCAGGGACAGGAGGTGGCAGGGCTCCCCATTGTCCCCAGATCCTGGGTGGCAGTGATGCTCTGAGCATTCCTGGAGCGTCACAGTGAGTTTTTCCCATCCTGGATGTCCCAGTCTCCCCCAGTCCCACACCAGCAGGTCACCAGGCTGGACCTCTGTGCCACCCACTCATCCCTGGGAATTCATTCCCACTTTCAGAGGAGAGGATGAGCGCCCATTTGCTGGGATGGAATCCAGGCTGGCATTTCCCTGCCCCACACTTGTGGTCAGAAGAGAACAGAGCAAGAACTCAGCCCCAGCTGTGGGGAGCCCACCCTGGTGCTGTGGCTGCTGTACACTCCCAGCCCTGCCAGGCTCCTGTGATTCCCCTGGAGCGAGGCTTAAAGCAATTCCAAGGACATCTCACATCCCCTGGCTGTGAGCACACAGAGCTCACCTAGCCCTGCCCTGAGCCCCTCGCTGATTCAATTACAGCCCATCTCCTTGATTGGATTTAGCACACAGCGATGCTCAGCTCCCACTGAGCTGGGAGCAAAGTGCTCCTCTGCTCCCTCCTGCTCCCCCTCAGCTGCTGCAGCTCCCTGACCTCGGCCACCCAGCAATTCCACAGCCAGGAGAGCAGCTTTCCCTCTGCTGCAGAGCTCAGGGAAAGGGATCCACCCCAGGTGTGTCCCAGGTATTGTGGGCAAGGCTGAGGGGGAACATGAACAGCCAAAATTGCATTTATCCAACATGTACATATTTAATTATCACTTTGTTCCTCCACAGTGACATTTAACCTCTCCCAAGCACATTCCCCAAGGAAAGAGCTCTGGTTTTCCCTCTTCCATCAACCTGCTCTCCCAAAAACTTTCACCTGGATTGGGGAAAGCCATAGGGGCACCCACAGCTGCCTCCAAAGCCAGGCAGAGTTCTTTGGGGTGCAGGCAGATGAAGGGCTGTGTGTTAGCTGAGATAAATTCATGGCACATGTCCCTGGTCCCTGCTGGGCACGGAGCTGCCGCAGGGGGAGGCTGGGGAAGGGGCACAGGGAGCTGCCCCAGGAGCTGGGAACGGCCTCCCCGTTATTGTTTTCCTTCAGGGAGGCTGCTGCTGGGCCTGCCAATATTTACAGAGAGAAAACAGGGTTTAATCTCACAGTGCTGGGAAAGGAGGATGCAGATGGCGTGAAGGGGAATTTGCCACCAGATAAAGGCAGCGACTGAAGCGGCTGCCAGGGCCTTTCTGCCTGCCTTCCCCCAGGGACAAACACGTTATTGTGGGTGCTCAGGAGCCCCTGGTGAGCCCACAGCTCCACTGTGGCCCCCACACTGCCCAAGGGAGGGCAGGAAAACACAGCAGGTACTTCAGAGAATGAGCCAAGCTAGCCAACACCAGCCCCAAACAGCCCCTGCTCCAAGCAAGGATTATCTGCAGGAAAATGCTCCAAGGGAGCAGCTCCCCCAAGCTGACCCAGCCCCACGGCAGCCAGGTGAGAGGTCTGGCCATGCACAGCTCCTGACCACCCCAGCAGACAGCACACAAGGAGGGCCTGGGGCTCTGTAACCCATAAATCATGAGAGGAGCTCCCAGAGAATGAGAGCATCACAGGAGGAGCCCCCAGACCCTCCACACCCTGCAGACACCCCCTGTGTGCAGGGCCCTGTGCTGGGGCTCTGTGTGACACTGCAAAGCTGAGAAAGCTCAGGAATAAGGAGCCAGATGAGTCTGACACCTCTGGTGCCCTGAGCTCAGTGCCCAGCAGAGCCCAGGGCTGTTCTCTCACTGCTGGCTGTGCGAGGGACACGTTCCCAGGCTGGGAGGGGGGGTCATGTCACACAATCCCAGACTGGTTTGGGGTGGAAGGGACCTTAAACTCATCCAGCCCCACCCCTGCCATGGCAGGGACACCTGCCACTGTCCCAGGCTGCTCCAATCCTCATCCAGCCTGGCCTTGGGCACTGCCAGGGATCCAGGGGCAGCCCCAGCTGCTCTGGGCCATCTCCTCCCACAGATGCAGGGCTCTGCTCCTTGCCTGGGCTCCTCTCTGCACAGGGTTGATGGCAGGGTGGTTTGGGGACAGGGCTCCCAGCCCAGCCCAGCCCTGCCAGCCCCTGGCCTCCAACGCTCCGGGTGTTGGGCCGTGGCCAAGGCCAGCAGAGATCCCAGAGGGGAAGTACCTCGGAAACTGCTCCAGACTACAATGGCTCCAAACCACAGAGCAAACCTTCACAAGGAGAAACAGCCAGCCCTGGGAATATCCTGTGCACAAAACACGGGCAGCTGCCGCCTGCTGACTTCATGCACCAACCAAGGGCTGCTGAGAAAGTTCTGTTGGCTCCCGTGCTGGGGGCACTGGGGGGACCACGGCTCTTCCTGTGCTTCTGGTGATGCCCATAAAACAAACCCTGGCAGTAAAGCAGGGGCCCTGACAGAGCTGGGGTGCCAGGGGTGCTGCAGGAGAGGATGTGCATGGAGATAACACTGGCAGGACACAGCAATCTCTGCATGGCTCTGCTGTGGGTCGTGTTTTTGGGAGCACTGATGATGGCACGGCCTGGGGGATGCCCACAGGGTGTGGATGCCAAGGTGCTGGAAGTGTTCAAGGCCAGGCTGGACAGGAGCCTGAAGAGCCTGACCTAGGGAGTGACATCCTGGCCATGGCAGGGGTGGAACAAGATGAGCTTTAAGGTCCCTTCCAACCCAAACCATTCTGTTATCCTGTTAAACCTCCAGGAGGAAAATCAGCCTGAAGAACCTTTTCCACCTGCTGTGGAGCAGCCAGGGGGGGACACAGGGCTGTTTCCCCAGGCCAGACAGTTGTCCTGAAGTGGCTCATCAGGTAAAAGCCTTCACAAGAAGCCCTGAGAGGAGCCAGGCACGGAGCTCCTGCTGCAAACACCACTCTGGCAGAGAGAGCAGGGCCAGCACTGCAAACATCCTTTCCTCTCAGGGAAAACAGCCCAGAGCTGAGTGGCCCCAGCAACACCAAGCTCACTCACCCAGGGCCAGCACAGCTGCCCTGTGCCCAGGCTCTGGCTGATGCCAGCCTGAGGCTCCTGCTACTGGTGTCACTCGACATCTGAGCCAGGGAAACGCCCTGGGCAGAGCAGGTGCAGCTCAGAACCTGTCAGCACTGCCCAGCAGCCTGGCCACCAACTCCAGAGCCACTGCCATGGGTGCTCCAGCTCCAGGGACATCCCAGGAGACAGCCTGGACAGGGGGACATTTCTGCAGCTGGAATTTGGGATGCTGGGTTGGGCAGTTCCAGAGCACCCTCAGCACCTGGGGCAATGTGCACATGGTTTGTGTCACTGCATCCTCCAGAGGGGCTTTTCCAAAGGCTGGCATTGCTCTAACGTTGTCTCACTGCACCTGCAGCTTGGGCTGCTCAGCAGCACCCAGAGAAATGCAGGGGCTGGGACCTGGTGGCCTTTGGAGGGAGGAAAATGGAAAGCTCAGTTCAGGAAAGAGTTAAGGTGCTGCTGTGAGTGTGACATGGCAGAGGGACTGAGTGTCCAGCTCTCACGTGAGCTGGGTGACTCAAGGCTTGGGGAACCTCTCTGGCATCCCAGCAATGAGCCACGGAGGAAACAGAGGAAATGTCAGAGAGCAGGAAAGGATTTTTCATCTGGTAACATCTCCTGGCCAGCAGCAGCAGAATGGCTGGAGCCAAGGGAGTCCCCCCTTCCACTGAGCAGGACTGGCAAGGGAGCAAGGAAGGCAGAGGTGCACAATTCTGTCCTCTCAGAACGCTCATACCACAAAACTGGTGAGAGCCAGGAGTGTGCAGACTCTACCTCAAGTCCTTGGATGGATCCCAGCCCTTGCAGCCTTGCCTGCAGTGCCTTCTCCTCCACAGCCCAGGGGATCCTTCCCCCTGTGCCCATCAGACAAATCACAGCCACAAACCTGACAATCTCTTGTCCTATTGTGAATGAGAGGAAATTGAGAAACAATTCCAACAGAGCACACAGCCCATTTCCCAGACAAAGGCTCATCTCCACTCCTTTCTCACTAAACAAATTCCCCTCAGTTGTTCACTTGGTCACGTAGGTTTGCTGTCACCCCCTGCCCAGCCCCTTTGCCCTCTTCCCTATCACCAAAACATCTGCCCAAGTGCCCTCTAGGCCTGCCAAAACAGTGCCCAAAATGCTCCTTGCAAACTCTCCTGATGACGTTTCCAGAACAGCCAGCTCCAAAATTACCCAGGTACATAAAATCTGCCATGTCCCAGAGTGTCCCTGAGACTTGGCCCCTGTGCCATCAGTAAATTGCTTTTCCCAGCACTCAGATTTGCTGTTTGGAACAGCAGAACCTGGGCTCTCCCTGCCTCCTCCCTTTGGGACAATGCCACATCCCAAAGGGCATTCAATGAGCAGCGCTGATCCCAGCAGGAGCAGAGAACTCTTTGGGAAAGGAACGCTCCTGTGGAATAATCTGGGACATGGATGGAGACAAGCACATCACCCAGGCCACAGCATTGCTGCAATCCATTTGTCCAAAGCATTCCCTTGGCAGCAGCTGAGGGTGGCAGCAGGAGCAGGGGCCACAGGGACCCTCTGGTGCAGGGATGTGTCCACACAGAACCAGAGCAGCTGTGGCTGCCCCATCCCTGCAAGGCCCTGCTCTGGTGATGGCATCCCTGGCCATGGGAGGGGTGGGACAAGATGATCTTTAAACCTTCCAACCCAACCCAGTCTGGGATTCTCTGACGGGGCAAGGTGGGGACATTTCTCTGGCGTTTGTCCAGAGGCTCTCCCGTGCATGTCCAAGGCAAAGCCAGCTCAGGCACAGATTCACAGCACCAGTTTGCTCAGCTCTGGATGAGTGCTCACCACAGCAGCACAAGGAGCTGCTGCTGGAAGGATTTTCTGTTGGAGAAGTTTCCCAAGACAAACTCTGGTGTCTGCAGACGAAAACTTCCAGGGGGAAAAAAAGATCAAATTTGCCATTTGCTTTTCAAAGGAAAAACTTACTGAGCTGTTTGGTTTTAAGTCGATTTGGTCTGAATATGTTGGGTTTGAATCAAACACTTGTAACAATGCATTAAACCCCTGACCTGCAGTTTCCTGTCAGCAGGATATTTCCAGAGCAGGGAAGGGTGTGAATTCAGCACACTCACAGCTCCACATGGCTCCCTGTGAGGCTGCCCATTCCCAGCAGACAGCAAACCCTTCCTTCTGACAGCTCTTACACATCCCACGAGGTGTGTGTGTCCTGCAGGGAATGGTGTGGGATGGGGAAAATGCAGACAAACTCCCACAAATCCCAAATCCTGTGGGGTGCAGAAATGTGGGTCCACACTGAATCCCAGAATCCCAGACTGGTTTGGGTTAGAAGGGACCTTAAAGCTCATCCCATTCCACCCCCTGCCATGGCAGGGACACCTTCCACCATCCCAAGTTGCTCCAAGCCCTGTCCAACACTTGTTCACTGCCAGGGATGGGGCAGCCACAGCTTCCCTGGGCTCCCTGCACTTATTGCAGTGCTCAAATCTGCCAGAAACTGTCACAGGCAGGGGCTGTTCAAACTGTGCTCTTTGAAAGAACAGAGGAGACAAGGAAGGAGCAGGAGGGCAGGAACAAGAGAGGATGAGGATTCTGCAGTGAGTCGTGCCCTGGCCCAGCTCCAGCCACTCAAGGTGAACAACTTCCATGCTGAGCATTTGCACCCGACTTTCACAATGGTTCTTTATTCCAATGTTTGCCTTTCTCCTCTGTGCCCTGGGGAGCTTTCCCAGACCCACCTTTCCACCTCGGAAAATACAAGGACTTTACACAGTAAAGTCACTGGAAAAGGGAAAAAACCCACAGCTTTCAATGATTAGGGAGGTGCAGTGTGAACCAATTTTGCAGAGTCCTTTACTTGACAAAAGGGACTGAGCCAATGTCTGGGTGACCCCAAATCTGGTTACAGCACTTAGCTACATGTGGGTTCAGAGCTGTGATTCTGTCTTTCAGACTGGGCTTCCTTATTTTATTTGAGGGCTCCAAACCTGGATGTTTGAAGACAAGAAAAGCAAGGTGCCTAAAAATAATGACAAAACATTTGGCAAAGAAATCTGCCCCCAGGGGAAAGAATCCTAAGAAAAAATAAAAGTGAAATGTCTCAAGGAAGATCCACAGGGAGAAGGAGAAAAGAAACCTGTCCTAGTGCTGCCCAAGTTCCTTTTAGCAGATTCTTATTCATATATTCTACAGCCATTACATTTCTTTTCCAGGCTTCTGGCAAATTCATTTAAAGGGAAGTTAAAATCAGCTTTTTCAGTGCCCCTTGCCCCAGAAGAAAGGATCAGAGCTGTCAGTACCTGTGCAGCTCTCACTGGAAAGCTAAAGTGGAAAACAGCACCACTCACCTCTGCCAGGTAAAGGATGCAGAACTTGCGATCTTCTGAACCTGCAGAGAAGAAAAACCAGGATCAGAGCGAAGCTGCAGCTGCATCTCTGCAAGTGGAGCCACTGGCAGAGGAACTGGCTAAGAGACAGCACTGAATGGATGTTTGTTGTTGTCCCCAGTACCAGGCTGTGACCTGGGTGATGTATGTGGCATCTGCTGGGGCTGGGCACAGGCAGGATCCTGGATTTCCTTCTCTTCCTGATGTGCTGTGGTGGGGCCTGGCTTGGCTTCCAGAGTAATGTGAACTGTGCCTGTGCCATCCACAAGCCCTGGGTGCTCCCCAGCATCCCAAGAAAGGACAAAAGGCCCATAAATCCCCTCTTGGCCCTTGAGCACCCTGGAGCTGCACAGAACAGCAGGCTGGGATGTCAAGGCCAGTGACACAGCACATGAGAAGCCCTTGTTTGCAGGATCCCAGCTGGGGATGGGGTTCCCAGCATGGGGGGGATAAAGGAATCTCCTCTCTGTCCCAAAGCTGAGCGCACCCGCCCGGAGGGGAACCAGGATCCCGGAGCGTGGAAATTCCCACAGTGTGTGGTGAGGAAGCCAGCCCTGTGTCACTGGAACCTTGGCTGGCGTGGTGCTCATCAGCCTGCTGCTGCTGCTGCCTTGTAAAGCAGGAAGAGAGAGCATTGTGAAGCAGATCAGACTGATTTGCTTTCGCACAGAGCAGCAAGCGGCAGGAACAGGAAACAGCACAATGGCCCTGAGCGCACCGGAGATGTCTCAATTGTTGGAGGCAGCCACACGCCTGTTCCTATTCATGTGCCATTCAGTCACTCAGGAGAGCAGCAGCAAACCCCTGCCAAAAGGGACAGACATCTTCTTGCTCTCTCCCCCCGCCTCTGGAGCAGGAGGGCTGGAGCTGCAGCTGTGCTGGGTCAGTGCTGGGGGCTCCATCTCCTCTGGACAGCCTCAGGAACCTATTCCAGACACGATCCAGCCAAGTTTTTATGGCAACAAGGAAATAAAGTGGCAGAAAACCGCTGACAAATGCACGGTGCCTGAGGTGAGGAGGCACAATCCTGTGCTGCTGCAGACAGACCTCGGTGTGCAGAGCCAGGAGCAGCACCAGGGAAGCTGATTTCTCCAAGCAGGTGAAAAGAGCAGAGCTATTCCCCAGCCTTTGGCAGCACACACACGTGGTCCAGAAGCTGACCAAAAGCACTTTAACAAGGAACAATTTCTTTTGTCCCTTTCTTAGAAATAAGCAGTGCTGAGAACACACCCGACAAAGCCCAGGGAGGCTTCAATGGCTTTTCTCAATGGGTCGTGGCTGTGGTGCCCCATCTCCCTCCCTTGTGTTTCTGCTGCCACCAAATAGGTCAGGGAATTCATCTGGAAACAGAAACGTTGCTGGAAATGGGAAATAACAACTGACTGTGGTCACCAGCACTGAGGCTCAGAACAACGTGGGGCACGTGGAGAGACACAGTCCATCCACAGAGCTCATGGCTCAGCTGGAAAAAGTCATGGGAAGCAGCAAAATTCACCCAGAAAAGGATCCCTTTGGAGAAACAGCCCAGATCTGGATTCTTTCCTCTTGGTCAGGGCCACAGGACTGCCTAAAGACATCGGCTCACCACTTCCAGAGTAATTTGGGTTGGAAGGGGCCTCTCTGGTGGGCTCTGGAGTCCAATCCCCTGATGGAAGCCCAGACCAGGGCACTCAGGAGTCCTGAACGCCTTCAGGCACAGGAGATCCCACAACCTCTCTGGGCAACTCAGTATCTGACCAACCTCAAAGATTTTCCTTCTATCTCATCCCCCCCCATGGGGTCCCAGGGCTGGGCTGGATGAGGAGCTGTGGCACAGTCAGGTAACTGCACATAAAACAATCCCTTACCCAAAAAACAACCACACCACACGAGGAACGAGGTGAAACTGGGCCCAGGCCCAAGAAGTGGCTCCACCGTAGCAAATAGGATGTGGTAGAGCAATTCCCTCATTCCTCTTTAGAGCATGAGGAGATAAAGGGAGTCTTTAGTACAGCCTGAAATAACCAATTTCAAGTCACCCTGCCCTAGAAGCCCTCTCTGAGGCCTCAGCTGGACATGAAAGGTGGCAGCCAAGGTGCAGAGTGAGGGCAAGGTCCCCAGCCCTGCTCTGAGGGGTGAGCAGGGGGATGGATGTGAGCAACAGGGAAACCGTGGGTGGCTGAAGAGAGAAGTAGCAAAGCAAAGCAGCAAAGTAAAGGTCATCAGAGCTTGGCCAGCCACCCTTGGAGCCAATCTCTGAACTCCCTGGAGACGTCACAGAGGAAACCTCAAGCCTTCAGTTCCCTTTCCCAGCCCCGGGGAGTCCCTGCTGTCACAGCGTGACCCCAGCCAGGGGAACAGACCCCAGGGAACGGCAGCCCAAATCCTGAGACGTGCACCCAAAAAGGCTGGAAAGGGTCTGAGTGCCCCTGAGGTGTCCCAGGAGATGGAGCTCGCAGGTTAGTGCAGGGATGATGCTGGCCCTGCACCCCAGCAAGGATGACCTGGAAGCACCAGCTGGATGGCATTGGACAGCAGGCTGCTCTCCTGCTGCTGGCCAGAAACCTTTGCAGCCAGGAAACCCCCAAAATGCCTCCAATTGCTGCTGCAGACACTCACCCTCCTGGAGCTTGACACTCTGCAGGTACAGAGGGTTCCTCAGCACATTGCAGCGCCCGGGCTCGTCCTCCTTGGTGAAGAGCAGCAGGTCGGAGTAGACAAAGAGAGTCACCTGCAAGCACAGGAGCAGCAAAGGAGAAGCTCTAGGGAGTTCATCTCTTGGCACTGAGAAATGTCCTGGAAATGTCCTCTGCCCTGGGGAGAGGCAGCAGCCTCGACAGGGAGCCCAGACAGCCCTTCCCAAGGGGCTCTGGATGAGGCTCCCCTCCCTCAGCCGCTTCCTGAGGCTTGTGGAGTCCTGTGACAGGAGGGATGAACCTGCCCCACACAAACACACCCTCTCTGCTCCCTCCTGCCACTTCCCGCTTACACCAGTCACAGATCACAGCAGGAGGAGGGAATAAGTTGCCCACTAATCCCAGCAGGCTGCAGAAGTTGCAGCCTGAAAGCAAATCTGGTCACTCTGATCACCCTCAGGGAGGAGCTTCTCGCTGTTCTCAGTGAGAAAGTTTGGTTTTCACAAGAGCAGGACCTGCAGAGAGCAGCTGCAGGGGACAAACCTGACACCCCAAACAAGGAAACACTGGCCTGAGTGTCTGCCCAGAGCTCCAGCACTGCCTCCAGTGTCCCAGGGGCTGGGAGCTCCTCCAGAGCAGTGGGAAAAGCCTTGCCTAAGGTCCCCAGTCCAATTGCTTCAGATTAATGGGACCTTGAAAATAAGAATGAGTTTCTCCACTGCATTGGACCCGGAAGCCTCCCAGGGATGAGAAGTTCGGTGCCACAGCTGAGGTGTGAGCCTCCAGGAGCTGGGGCACACAAAAAGCCTCAAAGATCACAGAATCCTGGAATCACAGAAGATCCTGAGCAGGAGGGACCCCCAGGATCACCCAGCCCAGCTCCCAGCCCTGCCCAGACCCCCCAACATCCCAGCCTGGGCATCCCTGGAGCTCTGGCAGCCTCGGGGCCGTGCCCATTCCCTGGGGAGCCTGGGCAGTGCCAGCAGCCTCTGGGGGAAGAACCTTGCCCTGATGTGCAGCCTGAGCCTGGCCTGGCCCAGCTCCAGCCGTTCCCTGCCTGCTGTCCCTGTCCCAGAGATGCCAGGGAGCAGCTGCAATGTGACAGTGGCACAGGGGGTGCCAGACCTGCTCAGGGCCTTGGGGTGCCCCCCAAAACCTCCCACAGCAAAGGGAAAGCTTTGCAACACTGAGCCACAGCAAGGAAGGGTTTGTGGCCTTTCAGCACAGCTTTTGCAGAAGGAGGCAACACCCAGAGTCCCAGAGGGGTGGAGGGAGCACAGAGAGGTGACTCTGCTCCCACAGGGACCAGGTCCCAGCTGCCAGCACAGCTTGTGTCCGTGGCTGATGGACACATCCTGAGGAGGACAAGCTGGCTAACAGCTCAGGACAAGCACAGTTATCACACACTGGGGAGTCTCACATCAGGGAACAGCATCTGGCTCCTAATCCAAAACCGAGACCTTTGCCACAAGATTTCTCCTCGCAGTGCAAGTTCATTTTTGTGGGATTCTCAGCCAGTACAAAGCTGCTGGTGGAGCTTTAATTGACAATGAAACCAGGGAGGGGCTGTTCTTCTCTGTGTTATTTGGAAAATCCCTTCCTCTGCTGTCAACACTCTGCTGGCACAGTGCCCACATCCACTCTCTTCATTCCTTCTGATCTTGTTGGTAATACAAGGAATAACCAGATAGAAACTGCACTACAACCTTCACCCCAAGCCCACCTTGTGCCTAAATGTAACTTTTCTGGGGTGTGTCTGGTGCCATCTCAGTTCCCTCAACCCCAAAGAAGAGATGCTGAAGGGATTTTGGGAATAGAAACCCAAAGTGAAGGAGATAAAAGCACGATCAGATAACAGTCACACAGAAATGGAGGAAAGAAACCTGTGGAAGTTTAAAGGGTACAAAAAAGATTGGGAGCAGGAGGAAAATCACTTCAAAACCAAGCAAGTTTCAGTGGGGAATCTTGGAAGTGGAATTACACAACTAAGTATTTACAGGGAGCATTGAGCTTTTCCAGGAAGATGGGACGGATTGTTTTTTGGGATGTAGAAGGTAAAAGCACATCCATTGTGGGCTCTGTAAGAGTATTCCTATCAGATGCTGCTTCCAGGGGTGACCCCAGGGCAGCAGGGATGAGGGGACACTGGAGGAGAAACGTGGAGCTGCCATCACACACTGACAGGCTGTGACCTGTCTGTAACAGCCCTTGGCAAACAGATCTGCCCTGAAAAATCACAGGGCTCACAAAAGCCAAGCGCAAACAAACAACAAACACAACCTCTGGGCTCACCCAGGCAAGTCACACAATTCACCAGAGCTCCTCCTTGGAGGCTCAAAGTAGCTTTGGGTATTTACCAGAAGTAATTTCATACCCCAAAGTCAGAAATACAGAAAACAGAAAGGTCAGGAAACAGAAATGTCAGGACAGAAGGACTCTCTGAAGACAGAGATGAGCACCCTGGAGTGATCAAGGTCCCATGCACCCTTTAGGGGGGTGTGAACAGATTTTACAGGGGGGAAATGTTGTTGACAGAGGCTGACCCTGATGTCTCCACGCTGCTCATCTGGGTGTGCTCTGCACCACGGCAAAGCCTCCTCTGCTGAGGGACCTGACTGGCAAAGCACTGTCCCAGGAGACAGGGACACGTTTAAAGAGTTTCCTGAGGGCAATCAGGAGAAGCTGGAAGGCCAGAGGGAAGGTGGGAGCAACGGGCTGCCCAAGAGGGGACAGCCCTGGGGCCTGGGCAGGAGGGAGCCAACATCACACCTGGGAAAGAAAAATGTGGCAACAAAATCACTATGAAAAGGTGCCCAGAAATGCAGCCTTGAAGAGAGAAAGAGGAGAAAGCCTCCTGCTCTGCAGGGAAGATGATAAAGCCAGCCAAGCCCATCCATGAGGTTCCAGGACTTCAGAAGGCCCATCCTGACCTGCAGACCCTGCCAGAGCGGAGAGAGGAGGGATGAGAAGGGCACGAGTGTGGCCCACACTGAGCAGACACCTCAGAGCTTTGGGAGGCCTCCAGGTCCACTGGAGATGGGTGGACGAGGCCAAAGGCCACGCTGGACACCTCGTGGGCCTTCTCCCGCTGGCTCCTCTGGCACTCCAGGGCCTGGAGGGATTTCAGGAGCCCATAAAAGCGGGAATTGCAGCAAAGTCTAGACAGGATGTGATTAAAGCCTGAATAAGGATTGCCCCAGAGGTAAGGTCAGGGAAAGGACAGACCCTGGCAAGCCTCCAGAGAGATAGGTTGAGTCCTTCAGGAGATGGGAGAGAGTTTGCTCAGGGACAAGGATGCAGTGCCTGATGTGGAAACTGCCACAGGGAAAAGATTCTTTTGGGAAAAATAGAAAGGAGCAGGACCTCCAGCTCCAGCCCCTGAACCCAAGCCCTCCTCTCTTGAGCCTCTCAGGCAAAGCAGGTTAAGAACACACAGAGAACAGTCCTGCAAAGCACAGGAGCCCAGCTTGAGAGAGGCTGTGTGAGAAGAGCAGTGGGAAAACAGAAACCCCATGGAGCAAGGAGGAAAGGACTGATGGGACACAAGAGAGCCTCTGTCCAGGTGTCAGAGAGGGAGAGAGCTCAAGAGCAGCAAAGAGAGGAGTCAGAGCCCTTCTGCCCCAGGGAAGCTCTGTTGTGTCCAGGCTGTTTCAGCTCCTGCTGGCTCCAGAGTTCAGTTCTCTCCCCTCACAGCCCTGCTCTGCTGGACAGTGAGATCCTGGCACTCCAGAGAGACCTGCAGGGCTTCCTTGGAGCTCCACAAAGCCTTCCATGGCCGTGCCACACACTCAGACATGGAGAGCCCTTCCCAAGAGCCACGGGTGACATTGGCACTGCCACTGTCACTGCCAGCACGGGCTCAGCACCACAGGGTGTTTCCCTTCACCACCTCTGGTTTCTCAGCCCACTGACTCAGCTCCTCCTGCCCTGCCCCTGTGCCAGCTCACCCAGACACCACAGCCCCAGGGCACCAGCATTCCCAAACACTGCCTCACAGCCCTGGCCTGCATCCTGTCCTTTCCTGGCACCAGCTCCAACTGGGAAATCTCTCCCAGCTCCAGGCTCATCCCAAGAGCCTCCTAAGCATCGTTTCCCTGAGACATTTTCCTCCTGACCCTGTGCACAGTGGGGTCTCTGCTCTTCACAGCAGACCCTATCCAGGCTGCAAACAGCATTAGTTATCCATAAATATTCCACATTTGGCTGCTACTCCAAATATCTGAGTGTGACCTGGAGGCAGGTACCTCCAACCCAGCCAGGAGGAGCTCCCTGACTTCAGCTGTACCCCCAAGCCATCCAGCACAGCTCCCAAGCACTTTTACCTGGCTTTCATTCCTGGTCTTCCTTCAGAAGACCCTGAGCAGCACAGGACAGCGGGACAGACAGGCAAAGGGGTTTAGTTACAAGTTACTGCCAAGTTCTCTAATCAATCGTGGAATTTTTCATGTTCTTTGAGGTATTTTCATGTACTTTTTGGCAGAAAAAAAAAGTGGTTCAAGTCAAAGCAAGGGATGAATTACATCATGGAAACCAGAAAGAGAGGAGTCACTTAGCACAACCCTCTGCTGGTTTGTACTGGCCAGTGATGGGAAGTGGCTCTGGGCTCCTGCTATTGGCCACCCAGAGACCAAAACGAGTCAAGTAGAACTTCCTCTACAGATCTGTGAAGATGACACATTGTTCACTCCAGCTGAATTCAAGCCCAAATTACTCTGTGAGATCCTCTGAAACTGGTTAGCAGAGCATGAGTGGGCTCTGCCTCCCAAATCCCAAGGCTTTGCAGACTTCGCAGTTGGATGCAAGGGAAACCAGCAGCAAATGTAATCAACACATCCAAACTCTGCCAGTTTGGATGGTGAAAGTTGTCTCATCCACAGGGTGCCAAAGTCCTGTTGTGTCCCCAGATTCCCAACAGCTCTCCAATAACATGCAGAAAAGTCGAAGTAAAAAGAATGAGAGGAATTTGGACAGGACACGTGAGCTGTTTCGGGAACTGAAATTCTGAGAACATCTGTAGCAAGTTCTCTGTCTGGTTCTAGTTCTAGGTTGTGGATTCTCCTTCCCTGGAGATGCTGCAAAGCCATATGGGCACAATCCAGAGTGACTTCAGGGCATCCTGAACAAGGGGATGGGACTGGGTGACTTCCAGTGGCACTTTTCAGCCTGAACCATTCTGTCATTCTGTCTTCTCTAACCTAGCACGAAACATCCTTAAACCCCTTCCCCCTGAGTCTGCTGGGCTGTCACTGATGTGAATTTTCCACCTGCAGTTTCCTCTCTGTGAGCCCAAAGGCAACAGGAACAACAGCTGATTTCTAGCACAGTAGAGTTTTGATATTTATCCCACCATAAACTGACCAGAAATCATTGCAAGTATCACAGCAATATAATTACTGCACAATGGAACATCTCCCTTCTCAATGTAAAGAAATGACCCTTCCAGTCCCTTCTCAAAGTCCCCTCCAGGGTCTGAAGGGGCTCCAGGAGAGCTGGAGAGGGACTGGGGACAAGGGATGGAGGGACAGGAGCCAGGGAATGGCTCCCAGTGCCAGAGGGCAGGGCTGGATGGGATCTTGGGCAGGAATTGTTCCCTGGCAGGGTGGGCAGGCCCTGGCACAGGGTGCCCAGAGCAGCTGGGGCTGCCCCTGGATCCCTGGCAGTGCCCAAGGCCAGGCTGGACGGGATTTGGATCACCCTGGGACAGTGGGAGGTGTCCCTGCCATGGCTGGGGTGGGATGGGATGGGTTTAAGGTCCCTTCCCACCCAAAGCATGGTGATTCTATGATTCTATGATTCAGCCCTCTATGTAAGACAGCAGAAGAGCAGGTTTGGAGAGCTCAGACAAGGTGGAAGAGTTTTACCTGTGTAGTCCTGTTTCTGCTCTCGTGAAGGAGCAGCTCCTCTGACAGCAGCAGAGTCCGGGCTGGGTTGCAAAGATCCAGGGGCTAAGTTTGGATGGGAAAAAAAAAATAAAATAAAACAAAAGAAACAGTCACACCTTCCAGTGGTGGTGTGGTTTGTGAGATACACTTTCCACCCACCAAAGCCACTTTGTCGTCACTTTGAGCTGTAACTCACTGGGGGAGAAGCCACCCCGCACTGTGCTCAGGACACAAAGTCTGCAGTCCAGTCAGAGGAGCAAACAAAGCCTTGCACTCACACCCACATCAGCCCCAGCTCTGAAAAGACAAGCAGCCCTTGCCTCTGGCAGGGGCTGCCCTGCACGGCTGGTGTCAGCAGGAAGCACAACCACGCTGCTGGCACGGCAGGTTCCACGTCCCCCGGGCACCAATATTTGTCCCTGCTGCTGTGCATCACTCTCAGAGCAACTTCTGAGAATTCCTGTCCTTCCCATGCCACACCCAGCTCCCCAGTCAGTGCTGGAGAATGAAAGGTTCACGTGGCCTAAGTGCAGAACAAACCCTGCAGCAGCAGCCTGGGATCACCCTTGGGAGCAGCACGGTGGGAACAGGAGGGGATCTGCACAGACAGGGCAGGGCAAAGAGAAACACCAGCTCCTGCAGTGGCAGACTCCCAGGTGAACTCCAAGTTTTGGGAATAAGGAGGCAGAAAGTGCCAGAGGTGTTCCTACCGAAGGCCACCCATGCCGAGCCCAGGCAGGTGAACACAAGCTGAGGGCTCACCCAGGTGCCTGCAGGGAGGAGGGAGGTGATCAAACACCTTCCCCCAGCTCCAGCCCAGCCCACACTGGCCTCAGGCAGCCCATGGCTCAGCCTGGAGTGACAGGGAACGTGGACCATGCTTTCAGCCCAGAGGAAGTGGCCGGGCTGAGCTGAGGTGACAATGCCACTGCCACGGCAGGACAAAGGGCTCCCCACAGGCTCAGAAAGGAAAGGATTCATCAGCAACGTACTAAAATACGTGGAGCAGATGAGATTTTTGGGGTTCTGGCCATATGAAGGACAAAATGAAGGGCACAGAGGGAGTTAGAACTACTACCACCAAATTCAGGGCTGTTTTCTTAAAACAGATCATGGAACTGTAGAGGCAGAACATTCCCTGTCAAGCCATTGCTTCTCTGAATCCTTGTCCTCTGCCCTGGAGCCAGGCTGGGACAGCTGAGGGTGGGGAAGAGAAGGCTCCAGGAGAGCTCAGAGCCCCTGCCAGTGCCTAAAGGGGCTCCAGGAGAGCTGGAGAGGGACTGGGGACAAGGGATGGAGGGACAGGAGCCAGGGAATGGCTCCCAGTGCCAGAGGGCAGGGCTGGATGGGATATTGGGATATTGGGATCTTGGGCAGGAATTGTTCCCTGGCAGGGTGGGGACAGCACAGGTTGCCCAAATTTTAGTGTGGCCACCAGCTAAAGTAAAACCCCTGTGATTGCACACACTGACAGCACAAAGAGCCTCAAGCAGAACCACACTGATCTGCAGTTCCAAAGTTAGCTCTGAAGGCCAAAAGCTGGGACACCTCCTCCTGACCCAAGCAAGTACCAAGGGCCAGATTTGAAAGCTGAAAAGGAGAGAAAAAAAAAGAACCAACACAGAATTGCTTGGGCAGGACACAATTCCCTTTGAGACAGCCCCAGCACTGTGCCAAGCACAGCCAGCTCCAGAGGAGAGCTGAGGACACCAGGGATCCTGGTGGGAAGGAGATCCTTGCATGGCCCCAGCCACGATCACACCCCAGCCCCTCCAGCTGCACAGACCTGCACAAAGATGGGGAACACCAGCACTTTGGGAGCCAGGGTCACGTAGGTGCCGTAGGAATGGGGGATGTGAGGCCTCACTATGGTGCAGTTCTGGTAGTTCCCATAGCTCTTCATGGTCTGCACAGTCTTCATCAGCCTGGATTTCCTCCCAGAGCCCGTGTGGGATTTCCCTTTACAGCCATTCCCTGCGTGGACAGAGGAGGCAGAAGGAAACACAGAATGAGGAGGGAGCTCCAGCTCTGCCCACTCCAGCTCAGTCCTGCTTTCCCAGGCTGGAGGAGGGCATGGAAATCCTGGGGAATTGCTGGAGCCCAGAGCACTGCCCAGGTGTCCCAGGGATTCATGAAATAACAGCAGTGATTCCATTTTTTCTAACTGGAAACGAGATGCCCCTGGGTGGTTTTGCTCCAGAGCCACTTGCTTGGTGCTGCCAGGACTTCAGTGGGTGCCAGCAGCAGCACAGACACGGCTGGGAAGGTTCAAACAGGACCCCAGGGAGGCCACAGCAAGCTCTGCTTCAGGCCAGCACATCCCACCAGGTGCTCTGCCCTCTGATCTGCCCTCCTGAGAGCACCTGCAGTGCTCTGTCCCACTCCAGGGCCCAGCACAGGCAGGACCTGGAGCTGCTGGAGAGATCCAGAGGAGACACCAAGATGCTCCCAGGGCTGGAGCCCCTCTGGAGCCAGGCTGGGAGAGCTGGGGGGGCTCACCTGGGGAGGAGAAGCTCCAGGGAGAGCTCAGAGCCCCTGCCAGGCCCTAAAGGGGCTCCAGGAGAGCTGGAGAGGGACTTCAACATTTTTATCCACACAAGTCCTGCCTGCTCTGGATTCTGGGTGTGGAAGTTGGCAAAGTGCAGGAATGTCATGACATGGGGCAGTGGGTTAATCACAGATCTCAGGAGACACCAGGAGTGGAGGTGTCAGAGAAGGAGGCAGAAGTTACAAAAGCACATTCATGGCTGGGATCAATCCCTGCTGCTGCCAGAGATGGTGTTTCAGACATTGGGTGTATTTATAAAGGATGACCTCACTGTTCATGAGGCTGGCATCACACCATCCTCTGTTTTTCAGCATTACATTCTGGGGCTGGGAAAGGTCCAAGCAGCCTGACTGCTTTCCAGTCTGCCCCTTTTCCCTGAAGAGAGTTACCCTGACTCAAAGGAGGCTTTTTCCTGCACACTCCCACCTCAGCTGCTCAAGCAGAGCCCACACCACGTCCTGCTGGACACCAGCAACCTGTGCTCTGCCCTAAAACTCGCAGGCAGCAGATCCAACAGGAACTGAATGCTCTCTGACCAAAAATTCACATCTCCAAAAGAAACCCCACTGAAAAATCGATGCATTTCCTTCCTCACTCCTCCTGTAACTGATCCAGCTTGGGGCTGCAGGCAGAGCTCTCCACTGGGATTGAAAATATCCAGGTGAGGAGCTGGAGCATTCTCCTTCTCCCCCACAGGAACAGGAATGAATTTCCCTCCTGCAGCTCCCTGGGGACCCCCAGCTTCCCTCCTTCCCTCCTGCAGCCACCCCAGAGCTCCTGCTCCCACCACAGCAGCGTTTTACCCCTGCACTGCAGCTGCTGCCCAGAACCTTCCCAGGCAGAAATGAACCAAAACACTCCTGACCACGGCCAGGGGCAGATAAGGTCTCGTCCAAAGCAAATACACAAACCTGCCCAGCATTACATATTCCATTAAGTATTAGGAAATAGCACATTTGCTCCCAGATAAAGGCAGCAGAGCCAGCCAGAGCTGGGCTGGGAAGCCAGCTTGGCTGTTTACTGCTGGCTGGAGCAGCTGCCTTTGCTGGGGGGACCCTCGTGACCTAAGAGGTTGTTTCCACCTCTAAGTGCATTAATCCTGACATTTTCCCTTTTCCCTTTTTCCTGGCTGTGCTGTCAGATAACATCGAAGCGCAAGAGGCAGCTCAGCACAGAGCAGATAAGATCTGTCTGGGCTGTTCAGGGTTTGCTTTTGCTCTTATCCCTAAATCACCTGGTTTTATCAGAGGAAATTATCACCTGCACAAGTCCTGGCACAGAAACACACCCAAATGTCAGCTCCTGTGGCTGGGTGGGCAGCTCTGCGCTGCCACACCTCATCCTTGCTCAGGTTAACTGATACCTTCCCTCCCTCTGAAATTAACATTAAATAATTAAAAACAAATCCATAAAAATCAAAAAAATTGTTATGGGAAGAAGCCCAAGCCTTTCAAATCCCACCCCGCTGTAAGAACAAGTCCCTGTGGTCCAGCTCATCTTTTCACAGGATCCACAAACAGCAGGAAAGAGCTGCAATTATCCACGGAACAAAACATCCCCTGCAGTTGAGAACGGAAAATTCTGCTGGCTGCAGAGCTCCAGGGCTGGGAGCACCCGAGGCACGGGGGCCTGGCACCCACAGTGCCCCCTCCTGCTCCCCAGCACTCCCCCCATGGCTCTGCCAGCCCCACACTTCTCTGGACACTGCCCCACCTTAGAGACAGCACCAAGTTTTCCAGCTGTGCCCTCACCAGACAGGGAATGCTGAGGGATTCCCACTCCTCCAAGAGCTCAGCTCTCCTAGGGATGCACAGCTCACCCTGAGGCCATCCAGATGGGCCAGGGTGCAAGCACAGCCTCCCAAAGCTCCCAGATTCATGAGCACACAAGGGGTATTTCCACAGGGACCTGGATTCCTGCAGTGCCCAGCCCTGCCACCCATCTCAGCCCACTCTTCCCACGGGCCCAGCCATCCCCGGGGAGCTCCAGACATCCCACACACACCTGTCACCAGTGTGCTTTATGTTCTGAGTTAATGTTTCAAAGGTTTTTTCAGGACAGCTGGCCCAGAGGCTGCCAGAGACTTTGCAGCAGCCCAGGGCTTCAAAATTCCCCAAATCTGGCACAAAAAGCTGCACTGATGTGAGCCACAGCCACCCTCACCCCTGCAGGGAGCCTCAGAGCAGGGAACAGCTCTCCCAGAAAAGGTTTAATGGATGAGGAGGGGAATTTATCATGGATGAGCCCACAGACACGTGGGGAACCACAATACTTACAGCTCTCACACCCGGTGTTGTCAGCCTGTCTGTCCTGGTGGGAAGAGCCCTCCTCACATGGGGCTCACCCCGTGCCACGCTCCCCTCTGCTTTTGGGTTTCAGCCACAGTGGGGAGATGCTCCCACCCAAAACCCCTGGGCTGCTGCTCCTGCCTGAACCATGAGCCCTTTGCAGGGCTGGGGACAAGGGCTGGGTGACAAGGAAGGCCAGCTTCGGTGCTCTGAGCAGCGTTCCTGGCACAGGGACAACTCACCCACAGTAGTGCCGTCCTCCTGGTACACGGGCCTCAGCAGCTGTGAGGGACAGAGGGGACACGGTCACCTGCAGGCCACGGACAGTGACAACAACCAGCTACAGAAGTTAACATGCCAAACCCAGCCAAGCCAAAGCGCTTCAGAGAGGGGGGTAAAAATAAACATTTTTGCAGTAGAAAATGAGAGCAATGACTTGCAGAGTGGTTCTTGTGCGGTGGGAACGCTCCCCACATCCTCCCCAAATTCCTGGGGTGAGCCCCGAGGGGAGGCAGCAGGGAAATGCTTCAGGAAAACAGCGAAAGCTCCACCAAGGGACAGAGGTGTGGCTTGTCAAATTGGCAAATATTTCGAGATGAGTCTGAAGCAGGGGCCAGGAGAGGCTGCAGAGCCCCGTGCAGCCCCCGAGCCCTACCTGGCTGCCGGGGTTCAGAGGAGCCAGGATGATGTAGTTCTGGTCTGCAGCAGAGGGCACCCGGGACAGGGCTGGCAGGGTGCTCTGGCCCCTCTTGCCCAGCTCGGTGTACCTGTCCCAGGTGTGCAGCCCCAGCCCCTCGGTGCCATCGTAGAGGATGTGGCAGCTGCGGCGCTGCTCCACCTGCGCGGGGCCGTTCTTCTCCCGCTTGTTGGGAGGGGACTGAAGGTCGTAGGTGGATTTGCAGGAGGACCTGCGGGTCATGCCCTCGTGGGCCGGCTTCACCTGAGGCACCAGCCTCCACACCAGGAGGATGATCTCCGTGGGACAGTTCCTGCGAGAGATGGGGTGGGGAAATCAGCCCTTCCTCCCTCCAAAGTCTCTGCCCCTCTCCCGTGCTCCCCAGCCCTTCCATCCTTCCCTCTCCTCCAGAGAATCCCTTCCTGCATCCTTCCCTCTCCTCCAGAGAATCTTTTCCTGCATCCTTCCCTCCCCTCCAGGGAATCTTTTCCTGCATCCTTCCCTCCCCTCCAGGGAATCCTTTCCTGCATCCTTCCCTCTCCTCCAGGGAATCCTTTCCTGCATCCTTCCCTCTCCTCCAGGGAATCCTTTCCCAGCTTTGTGGATCCCTCAGAGCTTTCTCCTTCCCACAGTTACTCAATGCTCCCACCACCCTGCCCTGGGATCCCTCAAGCCACCTGTCCCTGCCCTGGGTTTTTTGGGGAGCACCCACCGGATTTCGTGTGCCAGCTCCACACATTTCCAGTGCTCCACAGGCTGCTCGTTCAGCTGCAGCACCGTGTCGAGCTGCTGCAGACCTGCCTTCTCTGCTGGGCCACCTGAGAGGGACAAATTCAGTCACCAGCCAGGCAGGAGGCCAAGTGGGACAGGGAGGAGAAGCCCTGGAGCTTGGAGACACCCAGAGAGCTCCACAGCTTGCACCACTCACTCCCCCAAACCCCATCTGACACCCACAGCCCAAAAATGAAGTGGGGTCAGCCAGCCTGGAGCTTCATCCTGCAGCACATTCACACACAGAGCACCAGGACAGAGCCATCAGTGCTCCCCCAGAGCCACTGTGGGAACTTCCAGTGTTCCTGGGCTGCAGTGAGGAGCAGCAGGGCGCTCTGGAGACACCAGCCCATCCCACAGGTCCACAGCAAGAGGATCTACTCAGGGAACTGAGGATTCCTGCAATCCTGCTCCCCTCTGACCTGTTTTCCCCCCGAATGATTTCCCAACCAGACAGACAGTTCTCAGGTTGGAGAGGGAAGGGAACAAAATCTCTGCAAATTACTGCAAAGCACTGCCGAAATAGTGACACAGTGCTAACCCAGTGGCCTCTGACCCCATTAGAGGCAACAGAGAATTCATTTAATGAAGTTTCTTGGAGGTACCCAGAGTCCTGCAAGGCATGGGAGCTCCAGAATCACAGCCAGCTCTGGGAAGCAGAAAAGGAGCAATAATTCATTCAAATCAAGAGGGATGAAAGGGATCCAATCTCTTACCAGAATCCACTGCCTGCACACGGACTGGGGAGTCGCAGCAGATCGTGAAGCCAAAGCCATCACTGCCGCGAGGGATCGTGATCTGCAGGGAGACACCGGAGCCGCCTGTCAGCGGGACAGCAGCCACGGTGTGGGATGATCCCCTCACTCCCACACGGCCCCACAGCCTCTGGAAATGCTGGCACATGGCATTTTAGAGGTGGGGAAGGGCTGTCACTGTGACCCCCACAAGGCTGCCCAAAAGGCGGTGCCAGTTCAAGCCAAGGGTGTCTGGAATGGCACAAAAGGAGCGTTTATTCAGCTCACACTCTGCTCCCAGCTCTTCCAAGTGCAAGGAGAAGCTGTTGGAAAGGAAAACCTGGCAGTCTGGCCCTGACACTGACTCCTCTAAGCAAGTCACTTAAACATTTCATTTCCTGTACATTTCTATTCTGGAGAATACAGAAATAGCAGCACTCCCCTGCCCCGGAGGGAGCTGCCAGCTCAGCATGCTCCTGTCCTCCAGAAATCTGTGTGCATCACCCCTTTCCCTGGGCTGAGTGTGTTTTCCCTTGCTGAGTTTGGAGAGGGTGGATGCTGGGTTGATTTAGGCTCATTTCTCCTCCTCATTCGAGGAGCATTGAGTTCATTAATAAAAGGATGCTTATTTTTTGATGTTGGCTTCCAGCAGCAGCTCAGCGTGACAGATCCTGTAAATACCTGATTAGCCCCCAAGACATTAGTCAAGATGCTTGTTTTACTGACAGAGAAAAGAAAATTAAAATCCTACATCTGACCTGTATTATTTTGAGAACAAATAGGCAGAAGGAAGATGAGGAATTCAGCAGAAGTTGCCAAGGAGGTGATATGGTTCCTCACTCCTTTACCACAGGAGGACAAAGGCAGTGAGATCTCATTTCCCTATGCCTTGTCCCTGTGTGATTGCTCAGCATAAAATCAGGCTTCAAAAGAGAAACTGGCTCGTCCTGGCAGGATCAAAACACAGATCCAGCCCCACTACACTGACTATTTTTCCCTCTGGAGCTTTCTGGCTCCGCAAAGAGGTGGCTCTGCACCTCTGAATGAACCTCACAGCTCAGTCCAATCAGGACTTGGACTCCACAGTCCCTGTGAGCCCCTTCCAGCTCAGGATATTCCATATCCCACGATTTCATCTCCCACTCCTTCTCCCTGAGCTGGCTGACCTTGCCCCCCACCTGCCCTGTGCCACTGAAAATCAGCTTCTCCCTGCTGATGCTTCTCAGCTCCCACCACAGGCAGTGGTTGCCCATTTTTTGCCCATTTTTTGCCCATTTTTGCTGCCATGCACAGAACTAAAGAATTGTGAGCATCTGCCGGGAGCTGGGAGGTGGGTGGGGAGGATTGCTGTACCCAAACCTTGCCAAAAGAATGCAGAGGAAATTTTGAAAATAAAGACTTGAGGAGGTCTGAGAAACAAAGCAGAGTCAGTTGTTATTCAGCCAAGGCAGAGCAGCTTTCCTGCTTGAGATGGTCACCCCAGCCCTGGTAAGAAAGGGGCAGCTGGGTTTGGAATTCTGCTGCTTTTGTAATTCCCAGTATTTGCTGTCCCCACAGCAGCTTTGGAATAACCTGGATGATGAGCTCAGGAGCACAGGGAGAAGCTGACCCTGAGCAGGGAGTCCCAATCCAGATCACAGAAAGAATATTTCTTTGAAATGCAGGAGACTGGGACCTGCACATGGAAAAGCAGCACCTGGCATCGTGCACTGGGAGAACTGGAACCAGCACAGCGAGCTGCTCCTCAGGAAACAAGTGCTGTTAGCTCCCAAAAACACTAAAATTAATTAAAAAGAGGCAGTAGCAGCCTGCTGTGCCTGCTTCTTCTCTAATAAGGGGAAATTAAGACAACACCTTGCAGCTTAACGCTGTTACCAGCAGCATGCTACCTGCAAGCTGTACAGTAAATATATTTGTTGCATTTACTGATATTTTTATATTTCAATAATTTCTATAGATTTAAGAAGCATCCCCTCTCTGTCCATTTCTCCACTGCAGCAAGAGGCAGAGACCAGCTACAGGCACCCACGTGAAGATGCTTTCCTTCTCTCCTCACTACCATTTACAGATTGTACCGATACCGAATTGATACCTCACAAACAACACCCACAGAGCCCGGCCACGGCAAGAGAACCCCCAGACACTCCGAGATCTTCCCAGGGCTCGCAGCCACGCTCTGGCTCACACCAGGGGAGATACAGACCTGCCTGTACCTCCTCTCCGAGCACACCTTGCAGAGTCCATTGAAGCGGTTCATGCCTGGCAGCCCCCGGTCGCCGCCAGCCCATGAAAACCCCGCGGTTCCCGCGGCGATCCCGGACTCCTCGCAGCGCACGAGCGTGGAAGGAGCCCCAGTCAAACTGGCATGACCGCCCATGGGAACCCAGCTCCCGAGAAGAATGGCAGGAAGCCACCTTTCACCTCCCCGGCCCCTGTGAGCGCTGTATGCCGCTTTACGATAAGCCAGAGGCTTCCTGAAAACCCTCGCTGACGAGGAAGGGAGAGAGTTTTATATTAAAATTCCTGTCAACTCTTTAGTATTCCCTAGTCCCAGCTCTGTTAATGTGGCTTTTGTTCCCGTGGCATTCTTGGAGCACTTTGTTATTGCGACGTTCTCACAAACACTTGGAGGATGTTTGAGCGGCGTTTCACAGGCACTGGCTGTGAGAGCCTCGCTCCATGAAAGACACAGCTCCACGCTCATGAAAAAAAATCAGAGGTTTGGGTTTGTAGAAGCAAAAAAAATCCCAAAAAAAACAACAAAAAAAACCAACAAAAAAAAAATCAGTTTGTTTTTGAAAGCACAGACCCAGAGGATATGCACGTCCCCACACTTTGTGTTTGTAAAGTCACCGAGGGGGAAGCACCGAGGTCAGCTGAGCTGCATCCATGGTGGAATTTGGGAATTAAAGGCCAAGGGGAACTCTTGCATTTCCAGCAGCAGGATACCCAGCAAGGCTCAGCTGCCAGAGTTGGGCACAACCCCTTGGAGATGGGATTCCAACAGAGAAGAAAATACCTTCCACACTCCTACAGGGGGATGAAGAAGGAGGGAAGGCTGGAGGGAGCCCAAAATCCAGGTTCCTTTGCACAGTGGCTGGGGTGGCAGGGCCAGGGAGGGAGCTGAGGAGCACTCCCAGGAGAGCCACGGTGGCAGAACCATCAGAGCATTGTCCCGGGCTGCCAGGCTGGAGCTGGAAGGAGGAGCAGCCTTCCTCCCCAGCCACCACCTTTCAAGTCAGTGGCGACTGCCGGAGAGGAAGGGAGGAGAGGGGCGCTGGCTTTGTTTGTCTTGCTGAGCCCTGTGCTGTAAAACAAATAACTGCAAATGCAGCTGAGGGAAGCACAGGGCGGAATCCAGCACAGATAAATCACGGGGCCGCCCGAGCCCCGTTTCCGATGCAAACCATGTGTTTGTGTTCCCATTTCCCATCCTCGCCTCTCCTGTAAATCACCCAGGCTCCACCATGGGCCTTTCCCTTCCCACAGCGCTCGGTCCTGGAAGGAGGAGAGGAGCAGACGTGTCCAAGGAGCCGATGCTGTGGGGCAGGAGCCTGCCAGCCCCAGCCCCACCATCCCAGGCAGGGCTGTGCTGTGTCTTGAGTGGGAATACACTGGAAAATCAGGAGGTCCCTGAGGCTAATGGGGGTTAGCACCCAAATCATCCCCCTCCACCAGCTGGGGCTTGACTGGGGTAACAAATTGCCTGTGGCAGCCAAGGTGTGACAGGAAGGTGACAGAGCCCCCTCACCTCAGCCTCACCCTCACTAAAGCACTGTCCCTTGGCTCGTCTGGAACCCCTCATGCAGGCACCCACATCTTCCCAGCGCTGCAGGCTCACAGCCCTGTCACACCCACCTTCAGCTGCTGCAGGCTCACAGCCTCCTGCCTCTCCTGGGCTGCGCCTTCACCTCCTGCCTTGACTTCTGAAATGATTTTTAAAAGAAGTTTTAAAAAGGGAGAAGGCCCCAGGAGTGTGATGGCACATCTGGCAATCCCACACCGCTCATGAGGCCTCTCCAGGGCACGGACACATCCCCGACAGGCAGGGTGGCTGCACACCTGGGACACCACCTGCTGCCCCACCCTGGGCCTGCTCCTCCACACCCTGGCAGCCCTGCAGGGCCGGGGCAGGAGGAGAAGCTCCCAAACATCCAGCACAGACCCCAGGGACAAAGAGCCACAGCAATGAGCCCCAAGTCTGAGAGGCAGGAGGCAGCGTGAGGACAAAGCCAAGCAAGAGGGACAGACGTGGCTGCAGTGTCCCCACAGAGCCCCAGAAGTGGAGGGGAGAGCAGGGACTGCTGAACCAGCCACGATCTCCACCCCAAAAGTCTTTGGGATGCACCACAGGGCCGAGCAGTGCCCGCAGGGGCAGTGGGGCTGGGGCTGCTCCACACACAGGCTCTGACACAGGAGCATCCCCTGGGATATTCCCGTGGTGGGACACACCTGTGCTCTGCTTCAGCCTCCTCATGGCCACCTTCAGGTGCTTGGTCCTGCCCAGGTCCTCCCCGAGGAGGTAATACCAGCCGCTGATCTCCTGTGGGGAGGGAAGGAGCTGTGCATGCAGGGCCAGAGCTCACCCCATGCCACCCCTCCAGGGCAGGAGCTGCCCTGGTTACACAGAGCTGCTCACACACAGACTCATCCTCTCAGCAACAGCTAAAATTCCACCCTCCCTGCAAGGAGGGAACAAACAATGGTGAAGCACCAAGATTGCAGGTTTTTAAAGGTATCCAGCAGCATCATGCAGCAGCCAGGGGACAGGACCTCGTCTCAGCCTTGCTGAGGTCCTGGGAGCACCACACTCTTAAAAAAGCTGCACCTCACTTGTCCAAACTGGCCTCTCCTCCACCTCTCAGGGCACTGCCACCAACAGCTCCTTTTCAGCCTCCTGCTATGAGGAAAACATCCACACCTCATGTGTGTAAGTCTAAAAAAAACAAGGAGCATTTGGACAACGCTCTCAGGGTGGGATTGTCTGTGCAGGAGTTGGACTCAGTGCTCCCTGTGGGATATTCAGGATATTCTGTGAGCTCAGGGGATTTATTAACACTTCCCTCCAGGCATTTCGGTGCCCGAGGGAGGCAGAGCCAGCTGTACTAACGAGCCTCAGCCAGGCTGCGGCAGCAGCACCGTGACCAAAGCTGCCGCAGCAGGGACACGGCTTCTGACTCAGAATCCCTGCAGGAGCAGCCAAAAATCCTCTGTGTCTGCCCTCTCTGCCCATCAGCACTGCTGGGGGTCAGGCTGAGTGTGTCCCACACACATCACAGCCCCGTGTCAGATGTGACCCATGGCAGGCTGGCCCCATGTCCTGTGCCTCCCCTGCAAACTGGGCAGGCAGAAGGTGCTGGGGACACCTCTGTGCACCCCCAGCTGCTGCCACTGTGTGCCCCTGAAGAAGGGAGTGACATCCCCTGTGCCAGGATCCCTCCTCTGACAGCCTCCCCACCCATCTCCAACAACCACTCCAGTCCCACACTGGCCATCCGTACTGGGAATGGGAGCATGGAACTCCCCAGGCACCTTCTCCCACAGGAGGAAAAGCCTGTTTTCATCCACCCACCGAGCCCAGAGAGCCCAGAGAGGCACACCCCAGCCCCCACACCCTGCCCTGGGACACAGAGGTACCTTGTCCAGGGACAGGAGGGACTTCACACCGAAGCTCATGCAGCCGATCAGTTCACTCTGCCTGCAGGACAAGCACAGTTCAGGGACTGGCAGCACACGCCTGCTGAAGCACCAGATCCCCCCTGGCCCCCCTTTTCAGGGAGCCCCCAACCATCCCTGCCCAGGCAGTGCCCAGGTCGTGCCCCCGCTCCGTGGTTTGAGCAGTGTAAGCATGAGGCTCAGCTGCAGCAGGGCAAGGAGGAGCTGGGCTGAAGCACCCTGGCCACCTCCAGCCCGCCTGGTGCTGGCAGGAGCTCGGCCCAGGAGGCAGCTGGCACTTGCCTGGGCTGGCAGCACAGCCTGCAAGGTGCCAGGCCCCTTGGTGCCCCTCGCTGCACTGTCCCCAGAGCGAGGGGAGGTCGCAGCCCACTCCAGCCTGGCTTTGGCCAGCAGAGCGGCTGCAGGGCTTTAAATGCTGGCCCAGCTGATGGCTCCCAAGCAGCAGTGATGGCAACAGAGTGCCAAGGGCAGGGTTTCCTGCCCATGGTGCTCACCAGCACTGGCTGCCCGTGGGTGTGACCCCAGTTGGGACATCCCTGGCCCTGGAGCAGAGCAGTGCTGAGGTCAGGGCCAGCCCTTGGGACCCGGGGCCCTGGAGGAGCTCACGTGGGGTGACCAGAACAGGGGAGCCCCATCTGAAAATGATCCTGTGCCAGCTGGCAGCCCCTTACCTGGAATTCCTCTCTCTGTTCCAGACTGTGACCAGGAGACGCTTCTGCTCATCCTCATCTTGCACTGGGCTGCAACAAGAAGAGGGCACAGCCCATCAGCCTCCCCAGGAGCACTCAGCAAGGGCTGCCCTCGCAGCCACAGACTCCTCAGCCTCCTCACAGCCAGGTCTTCTCCTCCAGTCTCTGCACAGAGCACTGCAGCACCTCCCCAAAGAGCAATCTGCTCATTCCTGGCAGACACCTGCAAGGGGATGTGACCTCTCCTGGGCAGTTTCGGGGGGGAAACAATCTCACATCCAACACCAAAGGGTAAATGCAAGGAACAAGCCACAGTTCATGCTCTGAAACCACCACCCTGTGCCAAATCAAACGCTGCACAGGTCAGAGGGCTGGCCCAGCCTCTGTCACCAGCAGAGACAAACTCTACCCAAACACCAAGTCATGCAGCTCCTTTCCCATGCAGAGACATGCTGGAGCTGTAGGAAACCCTTTTACCTTCCTCATTCACTCTACTGCAGGTGCCAGGTCTAAGAACAGGAGTGTGTTTGTCCAACTCCTGCCCAGCAAGAAAGTCTGAGCATGCAGGAGCAGCACTGCCATGCTGTGTGTGCTGACAGCTCTGCAGAGCTCTGCCCAAAAGTTCAGGGCACTTCAGCTACAAAAACCAGCAGAATAATGTCTGTCACTCCTCATCTCAGCAGCAGAGCTGCTCAGGCGTGCTGAGTGTTTATTAGAGATCACAAAGCAAAAGCAAACACGGGGTCTTGGCGTGGGGAGGGAGCCCTGGGACAGCAGCACGGGGTCCCCACTGCTCTGTGTGAGGTGCTGAGGGATGGCCCAGAGCTGCCTCTGCCATACTCACAACACAAAGTGCTGGTGGAACACAGGATTTTTGCTGTCTGGCACAGTCTTCGTCTTTTGCCTGCACTTCCAGTCAGCATCTGGCACAATGGACATCTTTGGGAGGAAAAGAAAGCGTGTTAACATGCCCAGAGCACCGGCCCCAGCCGCCGTGGCAGGACACTGGCACAGCCACTTGTACGGAGGTGAAGCCCACAGATCCTGCTGAGCCCAGCTAGTGGGTGGCTGGGATCACTTCACCCTTCTGCCTGCCAGGTAATTGCATTACAAAACTGCTTGGGGCAGGGGAGGGAGGGAAAAGAGCAGAAGAATCGAGGAGCTGGGGTCTGAGTCTCACCCCTCTGCGGGGAGCTGCTCCCTGCACTGTGCACATCCCAGCAGCAGAGCCACCAGCAAACATCCCCAGCAGGCTTTGGGCACCCTCTGCCAGGTTCTGGCAATGAAAGGTTGACACAGACCTCAGCAGGGTCCTGTCCTCCCCTTTTCCACTTCCTGCAGGCGCTGCCAACAAAACCCGTGAGCTGTTCAGCTCCCTGCGTGCTGGGGATGCTCTTCCAGAGCAGGATGGAGAAAAAAGGGGAAGGGACAAACAGCGCAGAGCAAGCTTGGAGGAGCCAACCACAAAATTCTCCCCAAAAAAGCACAAAGCTGCCTGAGCAAAGCCCTAGGAGAACCCACCTTCACATAGGAGTCACACGCACGGCACTCTGTTCCCATCAGACCTTTTGCTTCCATGACTGGAAAGGAAACGAAGTGGTCACATCCCAAAACATCAGGGAAGGCATCCTCCTACCCCCACACAGCTCTGCCCCACAGGGTGATCCCTCCTGGTGGGGCAGAACCCGCTGGGCACCCTCAGACAGGGCCAAGGGTTGGCTGTACTTTCCCTTTAACACACCCGTGCTATAAATACAGGCTGGGGGGGAGGCTGAGGATGCAGTTCAGCATCCTCATGGTAAATTGCATTCCCTGTGCCTGACTTCCCCCAGCCTCGCTTTCCCTTCCCTGCAGACAAATGTATCATCCAGTTAAAGAGCAGCAGCCACATCCTGACGCTGCAGGGACAAGGGATGTGCCAGGGATGAGACAGGGCAGTGCCAGGGCACTGCCAGGGCAGTCCCAGGTAAATTCTACACAGGGGTGCAAACACAGTGTTCACCCTGAAATGAAGGTCCCTGGAAATTTCAGTTTGGTCTCTTAACCAGAGCTGTTCCCAACAGCAGCCACGAAGCTCTGAAGGGATTCAAGGGAGAGCAGAGAGGTGCTGTCTCCCCCAGCAGCCCAGAGTTTGGGGTGCCCCAGGGACACACTCACCGTGCAGCACCAGCGTCCGGCCCCGCACCTCGATGGACAGCTTCAGCTGGCCTGGGGACAGGAGAGGACAGGAGAGGACAGGCTGAGGGACTCACCCATCCCAGAGCTGCAAGGCCAGACACATCCTGCCTTCCCAGGCAGGCAGGGAGCTGAGGCGAGCCATCCCAGCTCACAGAGACTCAGGCTGGAGATCAGCACTGGAAACCCCCCGGCTCCCAGCCCCTGTGCAGGAGGGAGAGCTTGGCAGAGCCAAGGTGTGCCCATGGGATCCAGGGCAGCACCAGCGCTCTGCCAGCCTGCTCACACCCATTCCCTCACTTTTCCATGCACTGGCAGCTCTGCATCAGCCCAAAAATCCCCCCACAAGGCTCAGACTGACGTGGAGGCTCAGCCCGTGGTGTTTGTCAGGGGCTGGGTGTGATGGTTAAGGGGTGCAGGGTGAGCTGCCTCCCCTCTGAATGTCCTCCCAAAAGGTTCCCTGGGATCTGAGCCTGCCAGCCTCAATGGGATGTGCACATTTTGATGGCAATGAAGGGTCTCTCATCATGTAACTGTTCTGGATCAACCCAAAACAAAACATTTCCCAACACCCCAGGAGAATCCAAGGGCTGAAACCATCACTGCTTCAATGCTCCCCTTAGTCCAAAGCAAAAGATCCCATTTTCACTTCTTCCCCAGTTTACAAAACACCACAAACAAGTGAGTAAACATCATTTACAGGCGAGTAAACATAATGTACAGACATATAAACACCTTGCAAGTTAAAACCCAACATCTCATTTTGCCAAAGACACGCCCAAGGGCTCGGGCTTGCCTGGGAGGCGATATCTGATGGGATTGTTTAACCTGAAACAATTCAGAGAACACATTTTTCACTCAAAAAAAAATAAATAAAAGTCCAACCTCTGAGCAGCTGATGTGTGTGTGGACACGTGGAAATGGGGAAATGGTGTCTGTGTGCATTTGTACCAGTGCAAAGTGAGAGAGTAAAGACAGGAGCAGGGTGGGATGAGTCAGGACAGCTCTGGCACTGGGTTGAAAGAGAGAATGCTGTCCCCCGGGTTCATCCTCCCACTGCAGGCTTTGGGCACAAGGTGGGAACCCCTCTGCTATCTGCAGATCTCTGAGGCTGTGCAAACCCACTGCCTGCTCTGCTGTCAGCCACAGCAGATGTTTCAGCACGAGAGGAAACTGCCCTGGTGCAGCCAAGCATGAGGAGACAGGGAATGAGGGGAGAGGGGAAGGAGAAGGGAAGTCTTTGTGCTGGGTGATTTGAGGAGATGCCAGTCTGGGGACTGTCCTGCCTTAGGAGATGCCAGGGGCTGCCTCCCCATCTCAATCCAAGTGCAGAGGGTCAGAGAAATCTTTTCCCCTGGATTTCTCTCCTGATACATCCCCAACAAGAACTGAGGGAAACAAGCCCAGCAGAGAGGCCCTGACACATCTTGTCCACGTTCTCTCTGTTAAAAAAGGTTAAAAGAAATTAAAATAAATGCAGAAGGGTAGAGAGAGAACCCACATGCAGCTCCTGGGTTAACATCTCACTGCTGCCCAGCCATCACACACCACCAGCGGCCAGGACACCCACCAGACATCCAAATTCACCCGGGGCTCTCATCCAAACCCGCAGAGCCCCTCAAAACCCGTGCTGCCCACCTGAGGCAGCCACAGAAAGATCCCCAGGGAACAAAAAGGAAATCTGGGTTCTGCCCTAGCGGGGGCACAGCCCTGCCCCAGCTCGTGTCCATCCCGGGGGCAGAAGGAGCCGGGCATGGGGCACCTGGAGAGCGATTCCCACCCCATGGCTGAGCCGGGGCTCAGGGCGCTCTGCGGCAGGAGCTGCTGCCTGGTTCTGATTCCTTCCAGGAGCTGCTGCCCGGTTCTGATTCCTTCCAGGAGCTGCTGCCCGGTTCTGATTCCTTCCAGGAGCTGCTGCCCGGTTCTGATTCCTTCCAGGAGCTGCTGCCCGGTTCTGATTCCTTCCAGGAGCTGCTGCCCGGTTCTGATTCCTTCCAGGAGCTGCTGCCCGGTTCTGATTCCTTCCAGGAGCTGCTGCCCGGTTCTGATTCCTTCCAGGAGCTGCTGCCCGGTTCTGATTCCTTCCAGGAGCTGCTGCCCGGTTCTGATTCCTTCCAGGAGCTGCTGCCCGGTTCTGATTCCTTCCAGGAGCTGCTGCCCGGTTCTGATTCCTTCCAGGAGCTGCTGCCTGGTTCTGATTCCTTCCAGGAGCTGCTGCCTGGTTCTGATTCCTTCCAGGAGCTGCTGCCTGGTTCTGATTCCTTCCAGGAGCTGCTGCCCGGTTCTGATTCCTTCCAGGAGCTGCTGCCCTGCCCCGATTCCTTCCCGGATCTGCTGCCCGGCCCCGATTCCTTCCAGGCTCAGCTCTCCAGGCGCTCCCCACGGCAGCCGGGCCGGGCCGGGTCCCCGGGCTTACCGAACGTGCGGAGGCAGAAGGGAGCTCCCGGGAGGGGACCGGCCCGACGGGAACAGAGCGAGACCCTGCGCACAGTGCCGGCATCCATGGCATCAATTAGTCCTGCGGTAATTGGAGCCTGTCCAGCCGCAGGGAGCGGGGTTTCCATGGGACACCGAACAACCGCCGCAGTTTGAATGGAGCGGCTCCCATCGGCCCCGGGAACCGCACCTGCAGCCACGGGGAGGGCGGGGACAGTGCCATGGGGACAGTGCCATGGTGGGGACAGTGCCATGGTGGGGACAGTGCCATGGGGACAGTGCCAGGGTGGGGACAGTGCCATGGGGACAGTGCCATGGGGACAGTGCCAGGGTGGGAGGGGGCCTCT